AATTTCAAATGTCCGCTAGTGATGTGGCGCTACAATATTTGGCTATGTCTTGGCTACTTTAATATTATTTTTACGTGTTTTAGCTGGCAACACTCATTCGACCATGAAAGGGAGCCAGTATTTAAACGAGGCTTAATTTTCTAATTTTTAACGATACAATAGCGACGATTATTATTTTAAAAAATTGTTGTTAGGCTTAACATTGATAAAAATTCAACGCGAAGTAGGTTAATAGCGATATACTAATATACTAATTACATGGGATATGATAATATACTACACTAATAATGGATTTTTTCATACTTTTTGGTTATCCGACTTTTCAATTATCCGACCAACCCCAGTATCCAATTGAGTCGGATAATCGAGGCTTTACTGTAGAACTATAGCATTATTTGGATTGTGATAAATTGTTCATTCGTCGAAATTATTAAATAGTATTTTTAAAATATATTTAAAGATTAATTATTGATAAAATAATTTGGTTTTATATTTTGGAATCGTCACATTAATAATTTAAAATATTCTATAAAACTGTGATGATGAATTTGGCGCCCTCTGGAATATAATTTGTGCAATACTAAAGAAATGTAACATATGAATCGATAATTATTACAATATATTAATGATTATAGTTTAATCCGTAAAAATTAAAAATATAAAGTAATTTATTTTTAATCAAATAAAAGATATAAAATGAATCAAAAATATTCTCTCATTTAAATATGGCAATTGAGATTGCGTCATGTAACAGGTTCCGGTTCCGCTTGTGTCGGAACACGTTGTGTATTCCTGCAGTCTTATGTAGTTTATGGATTTAGGCCAAAAAAAAATTCAAATAATTTACTTTTAGTTGAATGAAATAAAATGGAATTGTTGATTGGAGGAGTTGCGGCGTGTTGTGCAGGAGTTGTAACAAATCCTTTCGACGTTGTAAAGACACGAATGCAACTTCAAGGAGAATTAAGGCAACCCGGAAAATATAAAATTCATTATAAAAATATTTTACACGCTTTCTATGCAGTATCAAAGGCCGATGGAATATTGGCTTTGCAGAAAGGTCTAGTTCCCGCTTTATGGTATCAATTTGTCATGAATGGTATTAGATTAGGAATTTATGATAATTTCGAGAAGAAAGAATTAATTGGTAAATCTGGTGAAGTCAGTGCTATTAAGAGTGTTGTCGCTGGTGCTGCTGCAGGCTCTATCGGTGCCTTTTTTGGAAGTCCATTTTATATGGTAAATATAATCAGTCATAGGTATTATACAAAGTAAATTATATAAATTATTAAATTTTTGTAATTTATTTTGTAATTAATGAAAATATTCAAAGCCAATCATTTCATATTATCTGTTGTTTTATCCACAAGAAACAAAACAGGATTATCTTTAATAATAATCTTTATCTTACTAATAGCTTTTGCATATACTGGTTGAACATAACATTTTCTTAAATACTTCCATTAGGAATGGTTTTGCCAGTCCATCTCCAAAAAGTTTTCAAATTTGGATGGCTGACATTACTTAGAAGTATCCCAGAATGTAAGAAAACTGTAGCTAAAGATGAAAAGTTTTTGTTTTTGGAAGCAGAACTGTTACTATCTGCCAAGGATTTTGAAATAAAAGTTTGTTTTTTCTTGCTTTTTTGCCTTAATTAATTAATTTCTATTTGTTTAGCGGCCGAAATATGCTTTTTAACACATTTTGACTTATGCTTTTCATCAACAGCAATCTTCATGTCACAAATATTATACCTCAAAATAGTTTCATCAGTAACAATACATTCTTACTAGTTCACTGCAGCTAGTTTTCTTAAATCCTCCCTCTTGTCTACTATCAGCATTTCTTAAAAGAAATATTTTACAATTAAATCAGTCAACATTTGAAATATTTTCATAAACAACATTGCTAGATCTGATAAATAATAAAGCTAGACACCAACCAAATGCCAAAATTCTAATGGGCTAGTTTAAGGCTAATTACTAAATGAATTACGTAACCAATTTTGTGATTGGTTACATAATTCATTTAGTAATTAATCTTAAACTAGCCCGATAGAATTTTGGCATTTGGTTGGTGAAATATTTTCTTAATGAATTTTATTTGTAATTTTATGCACAAATTTGAAAAGGGCAGAAAATGGTGCTAATTGAGGGAAATAGTGAAAAGGGGATTAAAAATTCAGTTTAAATAGATTGAAAGATCATTTTTTTGATGATTGATTATGATTTCCCCAAAATTAAGACATACATTAAAAGTAGTGTGACATCTCAGATTCCTAAGCTTACTTATTACAAATATTTAAAATGTTCAATTGTACAATAAAAAGAATTAAAGTTTAATTTTTTCATAAAGTGGATTCACAATACTATAAATTGAAAAATGTAGACACACAATGCTACAGGGTGTTGCATATAAAAGTAGCTCTGGTTCGTAGCTTAGCAGAAACAAAATAATATAGTAATAAACATAGAAGCCAACTGCACGTATTATCATCATAGATGTTGAAATTGATCATCTGTTGCATCTGTAAACAGTTTTGCACATCATATCTTGTTTAGGAATACCTGGCATAATATAGTGATGTCGATGGTGGCAATTACAAGACTCTCAGTTCTTATATCTTGTAGATTTGCACAATATGGGATGTCGATGTCCAAGTGATTTAGTTCACTCATGCCACATGATACACTGACACCAGAGTGCCAAACTGGGTTATGGATATTTTTTCATGAATATGCACTAAACACTTTTAATACAGAGAGTTAATAAATTAGACATACAAGAATACCTAAATTATATTTCATGCTTTTGAAGTTCATACATCCCAACAAGGTTTAATATTTGCCAAATACCAACAGTTCCTTGACATTCCAAGCAAGGCAATAATTCATTTACTACTTTATTCTTATGAAACAAGTTTGTACTTTTACTATGAGCTTCATTTTATAGTGAAGGCACTTCACTATTTAAAAAATTTTATATAAATAACTATCCAATTCAAGTTATTTTCAGATATTTTTTGTTAATTTAAGAATATATGATTAATTTTATTTGTTAGTGATATTTTTATTAGTGAATTTAAGAGTTTTGAAAGTTTCAGTATATGAAGAAGTGAATAGTTAGACTATAAAAAATATACCAAAAACTTTTAGTTTGAATTATAAAGATTGTTACAAATTAAAGTAATTAAAACAACAAATGAGTTCAAAATAAATAAAAATTACAGTTAAAGATCTAAACAAATGAAAACATATAAAGCTATTCTGTTAAAGAAATTTATTATTAAAATGTAATTGTATTATTTTCCAATGTTAGATTTAAGATNGAAATGTTTTCATAAAAATTTTCCCAGTTTCACACAAAACTTCACATTGCATCATTGTTCCCATAAATTGCATATTGAAATAAAATTGTTATAAACACAAACACCTTTCAATCAAAAAACAGTAACATGAGAATGAAATGGGATATCAGCAATCTAAAAAAAAGCAGCTTACTCAGTAGGTTATCACAAATGTAGTGTTATCAACCTCACAATGCTAGAGCACTCCATTTCCACCCAATTCAAAAAGTTAAGTTATTTTTTGAACAGACCCAATACAAAATTAGACATGAAATAAAATCCCAGTATCTTAAATTTTCAGGCAGAAAAATATGACCTAAAAGTTACTTCAACTTATAGAAACAGAATGCATTGAGTCTATGAGAATTTAAGAGAATTGAGTTGCAACAATTTTGAGTTAAGAAGGTAATATTTATTAAAAGTCTACTGTAATTCTAAAGTGTAATTAAGTACTGTAATTCAGAACAATTATTTTTGAAGCATTTTTTTCAAAGTAAATTAAAAGTGAATATACAACATTGAAATCATATTTTACTTGCAACTAAAATGTAACAATCTTTATGTTGAATGTTCAGTAAAAATTACAAATAAATATCTTCTCAGCTGTTAATAAAATTACATTATAATTTCATCAGAAAAAAAAAATCTCATTTCTATTTAATTCTTTGTTCATATCAATATTATGCATTATGCATATCTAATAATGCTTATCATCAATATGATTAAAATTATTTCACTTCAATCTTCATTCATCTTTTCCTAATATAATAATAAATATGATTTATATAATTATTCCTCTTACACTTAAAACTATTTCATACTATAAAAATCCTCAGTCACTGGTAATTTATTATGTGTAATCATGATTATATACTATTTATGATTAAATATATTACAATTTTGAATTTATTTAATTGAAAAATATAACTTCAATTATTAATGAATGAATTTGAATTTTATATAAAGAGAAAAAGCAAAACAATTTCTTATGAATAAACAGATTTAAATAAGTCAGATTTTATTTTGTTTTTATTAGAAAAATGTTTTTTGAGATTTGGAAAATTTTATTCTCAGTTCAATATATTCTCAATTTTTAAATGGAACACAATAACCAAAAGATGTTTATAAAATAACATAATTAATTAGTTGGAGTAATCCCTTTTATAACTCTATTGGAACAGTTGATAATTAACATTTAAGAACCAGATACTTAACATTAATTCCTTTAATGTTATTACAATTAAACACATACCCCTGCAGCTACAATACTAAGTCCAATTCCATTATTGCTTTTCTGAAGTCGAATAGTTGTTACTTCTGGTTCTGGAGGAACAGCAGAACCACGTCCACTACCTTCACCATCGCCAGTATGACTGTGGATACTTGGACTACAAGCCTGTAAGTATATTTTATATATTGATATTTATGGTTTTCTGATATTATATAGATTCAAATGTGTAATAAAATACATCTGAATCTATTTATGCATTTTTGTTTTGTGTTTATTTTCTTGGAATTAGTTAATGAGTACATACAATTTATTGGTTCCAAGGAAATGAAATGTATACAGAAGACAGTTGAATATATGTGAAATAAAACATTTTTTTAATCATTATTTTTATTTGAATTTATATTTGTAATATAATAATTATATTATTAAATATTTATAGCTGAAGACACAACTGCAAGCACAGTCTTCTGGAAGTATTGCAGTTGGTTATCAGCATAATCATCAAAGTATGGTAAAAGCATTATCTCTTATTTGGCTTAACCAAGGGCCATCAGCATTATGGAGAGGTGTTACTGCTTCTGTTATTAGAGTTGCCTGTGGTTCTGCTGTACAGCTAGCAACATTTTCTAAATGCAAGGAGTTTGTTCAAAAGTCAGAAGTAAGTATTAAATAGTTGACATTTTGTTTTATAACAATTTATATATATTGAAAAGAATTTATTAATAAGTTAATATAATCTATAAACAAAATATAGCCATACTGTGTTATCTGAATCTAATGTGATTTGAACAATTTGGTTATCAGGAAGTGTTTCCCATTATTTCTTATGAGAAAAAATTTAACTTGTTTTCAGTCCATCTGAATAATGTCAACCAATTTCTCCAAATGTCACAAAAAAACACCTGTAAGAAACTATTTTACTATAATTTGTTTTTAGATGATGTTAAACATTAACTTGATGAGTGTGAAAGTCTATTTGATTTCTTAAGTCAAGATCTTATTGGTTGAAGTGTAATTGGTTGTTGTAGGGATCAAGATCTTGATTCCTACAACAGCATTGAAGCAGACACAAATGACAATCTAGTAACCAAATTGGAAGATGCTGAATATTATCAAAACAGTAATTATTTCAAATGTTGTAGCAATAACCATAAATAGTTAATAAATTTCACTTGAAAAAATTGCATAACTCACATCATAAGTACTGGAACAGATGGAAAAAATTGGTAACCCTTGTGACTTCTATCTTCACCATTTCATCCATAAAAAAATAATATCAGGAATGTCAATCCTCTTTTCAAAACTACTTCAATAAAGTAGTTGCCTCTTTTTCATCTGATCCCTGAACGTTTTGGTGTTTTATACCTAACTATTCAAAAAGAGTATCTTGTAAATTTACTGATGTTCAAAATGATTTAATATACAAAGTATATAGTAATTTTAAAAACAGATTATTTACTGTACTTTCTAATGCCAAATTTAGCCTGCATTTTCCTCATTTTTTTTCATATCAACTCCCTTCCCCTTTTCCAAAGTTGCTTGTACTGTAGATTCTTTAAATAACTTCATTACTAGCCCTGACTTAATTCCCACCATCTTTTTTAAATCTTTAAAACCCATTTCAGCCATCATTCTTTCTAGATTATTCTCTAAATTTGTACAAATTAGTTTTGTTCCCAGACAGTGGCTTTCATCTTCTATAATTGCAGTCCCTAAAAGACAAAAGACTTTTTCTGCCCCATTTTCATTTCCCCAACAATGTTAAAAGTTTTGAGTTATTCTTATACAATAGAATATATTCCTCAATTTCCTCTAAATTACTTCCTTTCCAAATTGTGGTCTACAACACCATTCCACTACTAATAATCTCCTAGACACATTATTTGTAATTGTTCAAAATTTAAAAAGTAATTTTCCTTTTTACATTATTTCTATTGATATTAGTCAAGTTTGTGATTCTGTACTTCCAAATATTCTCTTATCATTCCTCACAGAACAGTTTGATCTTGACCTGCTCCCCATTCTTGGCTTAACAATTTCTCTCTTTTGCATACTTGTAAAATTAAACTAGCTGATTTTTAATTCCTCAATTTTTTCCTAGTCTGTGGCATTCAACAAGGTTCTACATTAAGTGCTTTGTTTTTTCTTTTCCAGCCTATATCAGTGCTTCTGAAAATTTTTGGATCACTGTTCCGCTTGGTTGTGACTGTTAGTAGTAATGCTCCCTGTTACTACTGACATGAATAGGAGGTGACAGAGCCTATCATCCCTGTCACCTCCTGTCGTGCCTAACACTCCATTGGATAATTCAAATGCCTCCCAGGGGCAATATCTATCATCCACTTTGAGAAGCACTGGCCTATATCAACAATATTTTAGATCAACTTAATTCTACTACTATTGCCTATGCCAACAATAATAAATTGATAAACTGCAATCCCTATCCTTTTCAAACAGACCTTAACCTGATGTATTCTCTTTTTGAATGCTTCAACCTTAAAATTAATGTAGATAAAACTGTCACAATGTGCTTTTCCTTAAATCATAATACCCATTTACTACCTTTTTACATAAACAATAAACTTATTCAATATGTCAACTCCTTTAATGACCTTGGAATCATCATTGATGATAAACTTACTTTTAAAGAGCACTCTGATAAAATAAAATCTTTAGCTATTCATTAAGGCATATTATGGCACTTTTGTAAATCCATTTCATCTAAAATAATACTATGTTCCCTCTTCTTTGCTAACTTACAGTTGTTATTTGATTATTGCTTTCCAGTCTGGGCAATGGTTGTTTCATCTTATTTTACTGAAATGACCTTGCTAGCTTGCTCAAACTTGCTAATCTCTTGTAATCCTGATATTGCTAGATCTAGATGGGGTCTTCCATCTCTTGTTGATTTTGTTAAATATTTTAATTTACTTTTTTACAAATATTTTAATGGTTTTATTTACTCTGATTGGCTTTTCCTGTGGATTTTCCTACATCCAATCCATAATGTTATTTTGCATTTTTACCTCTTCTTTTAGGCTAGCTCTTTCTATTACATTTTTACATTACATTTTAAATACATATGTAAATGATTACTATATAATATTCAACCTTGACTTGATCTGTAACTTATTTTTTATTTTATATATAATTTTGTTAATAATAATGTTTTTTACACAGTTGTTTGTTATATGTATATTTTCCTTGCTTTTAAGGATCTTTTATTATTAGTTACTTATTTTGGGGAGGCATTTAATTGTCCACTGACATTTCCTATTGTATATGTAAAATAAATAAATAAATGTTTGAATAATTACATTCAATTTTTACCCATTCATTTCCTGTTGCAAAGAAATAAATTCTAGGTTTTAAAATAAACCCAGGGGAATACATGCATTTTAAAAATAAACTTTCAGGGATTAATTGAGGAAATTCAGCAATTAATAACCAGCAAGCATGGTTCACTTCTTTTTTGAATTGGCATGATATGATTGTTACTGAAAAATTTGCTTTAAATAACTATATAAGTTATTGTGTGTGTGCACACATGTACAGTACATACAGTCATTCATTTGATGCAGTAATAATAATAATAAATTTTTCATAAATTATTAAAATTAATATATTTTAAATAATTTTAATAATTGATAGATATATATAAACTAAGTAAACTTTTCTTTTCAGGTATTTAAGAAAGATAGTTGGTTAAATGCATTAATAGCCAGCATGCTTAGTGGATTGGCAGTAGCAATATTTATGACACCTATGGATGTCATATCAACTCGTTTATACAATCAAGGTGTAAATTCTTCTGGTAAAGGAATTCTATATAGTGGGATTGTTGATTGTGTTGTTAAAGTATTGAAAACTGAGAATTTTTTTGGCCTTTACAAAGGTTTTATGGTTTTATTTCTTCGTATTGGACCACATACTATTCTTAATCTTTTATTTTGGGATGAGTTAAGAAAATTATACGTTCAATTTGAAACATAACTGATTATACTTTTTATTTTGTAAATGATATTTAGATAACCACAATATTTTAATCTGAAACATTTATTTAAAATATACACAACCTTATTTATGATAAATGAATTACTTGCTCATTTCTGATAACAGATTTCATATTAAAATCTGTTATCAGAAATGAGCAAGTACAGTATAACTGTAATGCAGTACTGTAATGCAATATAATGTGTTCAGTATTACAAAAATAATTGTCTTAAGCCTTAAACTTTATAAATTATAAAACAAAATAGATATATTTTGAAATTAATCTTGCACTATTTTGCCAATAGTTTTTATGATCTAACATTTTATAAGAATTTAATTCTAAACTGAAAATAGGAGTTTTAAAGAATGAAGAAAAAGAAAAACAATTTAAAATGTAGTTGTGATTTATTCTTGCAAGCTATGATCAGGCCAGTAAAAATTTCAGGTGACTATTACATATAATATGTGTTAAATCAATATGTTGTAGCTTTGTATTATTGATACATTCCAACATTATTTATATTAATAATAATATAAATGAACCTAATTTAATAATGATGAAAATACTGTGGTGAATTTATCTGGGTTTTTTCCTATTGTATTGACTTCAAAGAAAATTCTTAGTAAAACTGTTCACAAACAACATTTTGATTATTAAAACACTGACACTATGATTGATTTTCAGTTTGCATTAGTATATTAGAAATTAAGTTACATTTCTCTGTTCTATAATATGCATTTTGATAATTTGAAATGATAATGTCTGAGTTATATCTTAAGTTGTTTTATTTTATCTGTATTATATTTATAACTATCAGGTCAGTCCATAAGTTTGTGCGCATTTTTATCTACAAAAAAAGCAACAAAAAATTTTAATTAAATCTTATTTCAATCTATAATGTATTCACCATTATTTTGTACAATTTCTTGCCATCTTGATGGTAGCTTTTTAATCCCGTCTTTGTAAAATGATTTCGGTTTTGAATCAAAATATTCAGAAATAGCCTTTTTTACATTGTTCTCATCCTCAAAAGTTTTTCCTTTTAAAAAATTCTGCAAACTCCGAAAAAGATGATAATCACTGGGAGC